CCCCCCCCCCCCTCATCCCTCCCGAATCTTTCTGTTAGCTAAAATATATTCTTTTTTATTTCTGAGCAAAATATAATTCATTTGAATAAAAGGTTGAACGTTTTCAGTGTTATTTTCCCCTGTATATATATATATATATATATATACAAGAATATGAAATCAAGTTTAAAGATAATATACAAAAATAAACAAACATCAAGAAATATCTAAGAATATCATTTAGGAAACCAGTATTTCTGCATTACTTTAATATACTTCTTACATAACTTTAATGTCTTTTTTTGTGTGAAAGATCAAATAATTGTTTTTATGATTCAAATATTTGTGTTTACATGATTCAAATATTCGTGTATATATGATTTAAATATTCATTTAAAAATTAATCTATTCTTGAAGGAAAAGTTTATGAAGAAAAAAAATAAGGATTCAAATATTTGTGTTTGCATGATTCAAATATTTGTGTTTACATGATTCAAATATTTGTGTTTACATGATTCAAATATTTATGTTTACATGATTCAAATGTTTGTGTTTACATGATTCAAATATTTGTGTTTTCATGATTTAAATATTTGTGTTTTCATGATTTAAATATTTGTGTTTACATGATTCAGATCTTTGTGTTTACATTATTCAAATATTTGTGTTTACATGATTCAAATATTTGTGTTTCCATGATTCAAATATTTGTGTTTTCATTATTCAGATATTTGTGTTTTCAAGCAGATCCGTTCAGATTTCGACAATTTTTGTTTATACAACAAAATTTTAATCTGACAAGGATTCTTAACATCTCAGGTAATATTGAAAGCACATAAAAGGCAGACTAACTACACTAGGAGAATATTGTGGTTATTAAGTTACAATAATCATAAAATGTTTAAGCAGGATGACGACTGAATGTCACAAACAAATTCAAAGATCTAAGACGACTTTCAAGTCGTCTTGCTACTGTCATGTTTCGTGGGACACCATGTACATTCCGACGGTCCTTGCAGTATATAAAGCATCAATTAATGATGTCGTATATATATAACATAAAAATGTGATATTTCGACGACCACATGAGCCCCCTTTCTCAAAACAATATTTAAGGTAATTTTTATTTTCTATTGCTTATAAATCAAAATTAAAAAATGTTCAAAAGCTAATAAAAAATATTTAATTTTAAGTACATTTTCACAACAACAAGAAAATCACAGCATCCCACACCAGCACAGGAACTTGATAGTCTTCCAATGTTTACTTTATGACGACTGTGTTACGTTCTTCATTATTTATTTAAAAAGTTGAACTGCACAGGATTACCAAAAAATGTCAATAGTTTAGTGATGAGCTAGACACGCGAATATATTTTCTGTCAGGCCCGTAGCCAGGGGGGGGGTGCAAGGGTGCAGGTGCACCCCCCTTCCTTCTGAAAGGGGGGTGCAATGACGAATTTGCACCCCCCCCCCCCCCAGTCCCATATAAAAGAAATTGTTTTTCATAATTTTCTAAAATCTAGTTACCAATAATATAGCTCAAGCAAGAGTTGATTCCCTTTCCAAACCAAATTATAATCTTATTGTGTGTTACTCATTATAATAGCCATTTTTGGGAGTTTCAAAAACATTATTTTAAGCGAGGATATTTGTCATTTTTAGTCAAAGTAGAAGGTTTTTTTTGAGTACTCAAAAATTCACTAAGAATGTCTCAATGTCTCAATGTCAATAAATAAACTCTTTTAAACAAAAAATTAGAAATTTTATTTTTTATTCATCTTCATAATATCATGATGAGGCCGAGGGACAAGAAGCCTTGATTTTAAATAATGAATTTTTTCCTTAAGCTAAAGTACCATTCATTTAATTTTTATGGATATTGTATATGAAAACTGAAAAGTTTCAGACACTAAAATCGAACACTTAAAAGCTTAAATACACTTGTTAAAAAGGTTAGTCGTTATAGCGTACATTGACAATGGAATAAAGAAAACCATATACCACCGTAAAAACAAACCAAGCTTTAAAAGAAAAAAAAAAATTTCGCCGGCGGCGCGCTTCTTTGCACCCCCCCTGGAAAAATCCTGGTTACGGGCCTGTTTTCTGTCATTATACTGCAAATTCTGCAGAACGGTTTTGTAAATAATGTAAATAGTAAAGAAAAAAGTAAGTTTACTCCTGCAGAAATATTTCAGTAAATTTCACTCTGTAGTTTTATCCTTTGTAAGTATTTTTTCATTATTTTTTCATTATTATTAAACATCTTGAAATAAACATATAATTGTTACAATATCTGGGTTTTGAAAATCTAGACCGAATCTATGCGAATTAAGGACGAGTAAAAAATTATCCGGTTACATGCATGGTGTCCCACGAAACATAACATGAGTAAGACGATTTGATAGTCGTCTTTTATCTTTAAATTTATTTGTGGCATTTAGTCGTCAACCTACTTTAACAAGAATGATCCTTAAAACAATATTAACAAAATTTCCTAATACTGGGATTTCCAAAATGTGGTCTTTTTTGTGCTGTCAATAATACCGGAGATATTAAGAATTTCGTTCAAATTTAAATTTTGTTAAATTAAAACAAAAATGTCGAAATCTTGACAAAATTAGTTATATCTCCGGTAATATTTAAAGCACAAAAAAGGCAGACCACATTTCGGAAATGCCAAGACAAGGGATATTTTGTGATTAAAAACTCCAGAATTATACGATTACGAAAATTAGTTTTACGAATTACGAATAAATGTTGCAAATTATTTCGAAGATCAAATCGAATTGCTACTGTCATGTTTCGTAGGAAACCCTGTATTAGAAATTCAATACAGGGTGTCCCAAGAAACATGGGAATTGAATGACGATTTCGATATCGTCGTTTTAAATAATTCCTTGATTTAGTTTCGTGATACCTACTTAGAAAGCTTTAAATCGTAAGATTTTCGTCTGCTATGTTTACAATTTGTTTGTTTATGTTTTGACTGCATACGGTTGTAGTAAAGCAAGAAAATTACAGTATAAAAACAGAGTGAACTTGTTCGTTGTACATCTTGCAGAGACATTATAGACACATCTTTACAGTCTTTTACCATTTCATAAAATAAACTCTAGCAGACATAATAATACTATTGCTTTTGAACACAGGTATTACAATGCTGATTCATAACAAAGACGATCTCGAATTCGTCACAGAATTCACATGTTTATTGGGACACCCTGTACATTATCGTTTTGTTTTTAATCTTCATGACAGAAACAATCTCAAGAACTGACGAGAATCAACCTAGACCGAAATATATTTTCAATAAATGTGGAACTAACATCTACTTTTTTTGGTCCATCACCATCACCGAATTTTAAATTAATACATTATTGTTCTTCTTACTGGCTCTCCGATAAGAGGAGTTATGATCGATTTCAATTAGAAACACTTTTTACTTCTACGACTTTTTGATACAAA